TCACAGAACATGAGACTGCGAGTAGGGAACCCCCATGACGAGCTACTGAAAATCAAAATTGCTTGATGCCAGGCTGCTGTGGCTACTGAGTCAGCCCCCTGCCTCTCATCTGCCACCAAGATGGAGAGCATTTATGTCCCTAAAACATCTGGAGGCTGAAGCCACAAGTTTAGTTAGTTTGCTCCAGAGCAGCTCTGGCTAATAGAAATGTTCATGTAATTTTAAATGTTTTAGTAGGCACATTAAAAAAAAATAAAAGAAACAAGTGACAGTAATTTTAATACTCTATCGTATTTTACTAATATATTGAAAATATTATCATTTCACCATGTAATCAATGTAAAGATTAATGAGCTATTTTGGATTCTTTTTTTGAATTAAGTCCTAGAAATCCTATGCATGTGCTATATTTAATGCACTTCCTAATTTGGACCAACCACTTTTCAAGCACTCCACGGTTACATGTGGCTAGTGGCTAGTGTGTGGGCCAGTGCAGACATGGGACATTTCCATCATCATAGAAAGTTCTATTAGACAATGCTGTGCTGAAAAACCAAAAAGTTATGGGAAGAGGAGTGATAGGTGTGAGCAGAATCTGCTCCAGAGGTCTCTAGAATTACTGAGCTGTTGGAGCTAATTACAGCAGAAATTGAATTACAAGGATTGGGATGTTCGAGGAGCCCAGCCCAATGTCTAAGTAGAGATTAAAATTGGCTTTTATGAAAGACCCTGGGACCATGCACAGTCTGAATGTGTCTGTCCCCTCCAAATCCCTATGTTGAAATCCTAATCCCCAACGTGATGGTATTAAGAGGTGGGGCCTTTGCTTAGTGATTAGATCGTGAGAGTGGAGCCCTCATGAATGGGATGAGTGCCCTTGTAAAAGAAGCCCCAGAGAGCTCACTTGCCCCTTCCACTATGTGAGGGCACAGCAAGAAGATGTCCTCTCTGAATCAGTAAAAAAGCGCTCCGCACACACTGAATCTGCTGGCACCTTGATCTTTGACTTCCCATTTTCTAGAATTATGAGAAATGCATTTCTATCATTTATAAGTCACCCAGCCTATGGGATTTTGTTACAGCAGCCCAGATGGATGAAGGCAGACCATGCCCATGTTTTGGGGTGCTGCCCCCACAGTAGTGGGAAGTCCAGCAAGTATGATCAATGTCTCAAGACATCTGCTGGCTGAGCCGTCTTCATCTTAGCTGCTCTGGTCTATTCAGGCCAGGGGCTGGGAGAGAACACCAAAGTCACATACTTCTTTCAATAACAATTCTGAAGGGTTTGAATCTAATTTGGTGAAGCAGATACAGAAATGTGATCAAATTATGTGCTCCTGTGTCTGTGTGTGCATGTGTGCTCGTGTGTGTGTTCTTGGCAGGAGAGAGAAGGAGGGTCATGTGTGAAGTCCACAAGTACCAACCTGGCTGCCAAAATCAGCGTCTCACCAGCTGCCATCAGAGGGCAGGGAAGTGGCAGACTCAAGAGGCTCATCAAACATTGTAAGCCACGGAGGAAAGGCCTTGAGTCTGGAAAGAATGAGATGATGGGCACCCAGGCAGACAATCAGGTTGGAGGGAGAAGTGGCAATCAGAGGCATTCTCTCAAGACAAGAGCTGCCAACTCTATAGCAAGGATGTCACCCTGATCCCCAAATCAAGCTTAATTCAGAAGCCCACACAGGCTTTTGTGTGTGGGAAGAGTGCAATTAGCCATCTTTCCCCCTCATTCTCTGAGGTCTCCCTCATATTCTGATCAGGGAGGCAGCATTCAGAAGCACCTCATACATAGCTTTGAAGCCCAGCTCTCTCAGTGGCTCCAGAATTTCTAGGAGGTTAAAGGCTACCACCTGGTTGAAAGGGGACTAAGGGGTTTGCCTTAATGATACATTTGCATAGCAAGTCCCCTCCTCATTTTCCTATAGAGTGTTTGTTTATTTGAGACATTACTAGTAAAAAATACCTCACCCACCCTTTGGTCCCATCATGGACTTTCAGTTAGTTGCTTAACCTTTCTGAGCCTCAGTTTCATCATCTACAAGATGGGAATAATCTTGCTCATCTCACATGGATTTTGTAAAGATTAAATTGAGGCTTGTCAGCATGGAGCTGCCAAAGGCTAAAACTGGAGTATGACACCAAGAATTTCAGGCCCCCAGACAAACATACAAATCTTTGGATCTCTTCCTGCTGGGTCTCCCGTAACAATGATTTACAGTCCCCTCCCCATTGCTGTTCACTTCTTCAGTGCCATCATTTAGTCACTCAACTCTCATTTATTAAGCAACATTTAAGTGGTGGGGACTCCAAGATGTAAAGGCATATTCTGTCCATCTGACATAGGTATTATTGGATCTATCTACTTGGCACATAAGTATGCACTGTGAGCAACTGGGCTGCCCACTGGTGGGCTTCCACCTTCCCCCGCCAACTCCCACCAATTGGGTACCAGACTTTGTCAAGGTGGGGGGGCTGAAAGATCCAGCAGGAAGAGATCCAGAGATTTGTATGTTTGGTTGGGGGCCTGAAGTACCTGGTGTCATACTCTAGTTTTAGCCCTGTGGTTCCATGCTGACAAGCCCCACTTTAATCTTTACAATGTCCATGTGAGATGGGAAAGATTATTCTCATCTTGTAGGTAAGGAAACTGAGGCTCCGACAGGTTAAGAAAAATAAATGAGATCTGGAGCAGAAGAGGGACATGTTGCCCCTTTAAATCATAACCACCAAAGTCTGAAATCTGACACACGACTGGAAATTTATCTGAGCCTCAGATTCCTTATCTGTAAAATAATTCTTCCATCATAAGGTGGCTGAGAAGGTTTACCACATGTGAAGTGCCTGGCAGACAGAGGCCAACGATCAATGTTAGTTCCCGTCCCAATTTATTTCCTTCCACTACCATCCTCTCCAAAATGCTAAGGTTAGGGGAGAAACCAGAGAACAGACGTTTCCTATTGTCTTATCAAAGATTTGGAGCACATTCTACAGGGCTCTCTGTACATCCAGACTATCTCCATTCTGGGTCAATGGATTTGGGAGGCCAGTCCTATCCTCAGCTTCTGGGTCATTACAGCTAGAGCACTCCCAGCAACAGCTCTCATACACCTTCTAGTCTTTGATTTTTCTTTCTTGCAGTTCAGATGGTCCTGTCTCAGGGACTCTGTATTCTGGACACAAGATTTTGAAATGTATCTTACAGTTCTTGCCTAACTGCCTATCAAACCGAGTTTTCACCCCAGCAAGCAACATCACTTGGAAAACTGTCTTTTCATTTGCTCAGATGTTCCTCAGATGAACTGGTTTTCCTGGGCAGAACGTCACCGCTGGAGGTCTTGGCTTTCTTTCATCATAAAGGAACCCCCTCGGGTGGCTGAATGGTCCCCTGGGCTCGTGCCAAAGTAGCCACTACCCCTAAGTTCCAGTCTGACTTGGTTCACAGTGTCTGGGCTGCCCTGGGGATGCCTCTAGTGGGCATCTGTCAGGACAAGAAGCGAGTGCCCATTCGAAGGAAACTGTGTGTATGTGGGGGTGTGGGGGGAGGTGGCTTCTCTGGGCTTGTAAGGGGCAGGGAAACTGGGATGCCACCAAGCTTATGATTCTCTGCCTTCCAGCCCACCCCTGGCTTCTCATGTTCCCGTTTGAGAAGAAAACTAGCCACCATACTGTCCCCTTCCATATTGTCCCCCTCCCACCTTGCCACCCCTCTACTGTAACAAAGGCATGTCCACACCACATTTTCAAAGTTATCATAAGTCTCTCGTTCTACCAACAACCAATTCTGAGGACTCCAAAGGAGCAAGAGAGACATCTAGAAAACGGTGGGAAGGATTTCCTGGGAAAGGCACAGAAAACCTTGCCTGACTCATGCAAAGCTAAGAATTGTTTTCTCCCTGCTGGCTGCTTTTCTCTCTGTTCTAAAGAGAAGCTTCCAAGAATCAGCTAAATAAAGGGATCACACCAGAGGATGCGAGATAATGCTAAACCAACAAAAACAAAGACCCAAATGAAACAGAGAGAGCCATGAAAATACGCGGTTATCAAAACTTTGGCCATATCTATTTATCATCGCTGCACACCCGGGCTCTGCGGAATATCATTCTGTTGATGTCACTTATCCTCAGCAAAATATTTACACATCCTTAAAAACGCCAGATGAGGGGGGCCAGCCCGCGCACTGCCGCAAGCCGCCCCTCAAACCCCATCGCCGGGTTCTGGGCAGCCCGGGATGTAGGGGCACGACGGTGGGTGGCACCAGCGGGCACAGGTGAGAGCTTCCAACAATTCCTGGAACACGGTCACCCAGACGCCGCGCCGTGCCCTGCCCACCTCTCCCCTACCTGACTGCAAGCAGCAACCACATACCAGATATGGTGTCGGCGCCTCCTTGTCCTCCTCTCCTGCCTTTTTCATTGATTAAGTTCTCAAACCATTGTTAAAGATGGGTTGCTTTTCCTTGGAAAACTGGGCTAAATTCATCAAGCTTCCCTTTGCTACAAAAGGAATATTCATAAAAGTTTGGCAGGCCGAAAAGGACGCTGAGTGAGTGCCATGGTGCCGGTGACAATCCGCTCCTCCAAAGCCACCTTTTTCTTCCGTGCCCTATCCCTCTCTCCATCCATCCGTCCTGCCCCAAACCTACTCCAGGGACTTCTGATAGGGAAACACAAAGCAGCAGCTGTTTGGCAACATTTCTACCCCTCGCCAGCAACTGTGGTGGGATGCCATTTCCCCACCCAGGCGGAGCTTATCCTGAACAATAGTCGGGCTTTAAATGGCAAACAAACAAACACAGAGAGCACAACCCCAACCCCGAAAAAGCCACCGCAGAGAGAAGCAGTAACTCCCTCCGCAGCAAAAGGCGCCACTAAAACGCACGCAAAAATGCAACGAGAACGTTGCTCTGTGCCTAACATGGCAGAAAGCCCGAGCTGGTGCGGTCACCCCGGGGCTGGGCATTGGGGGGCACCGGGGCTCCCGGGGCGTCGGCGCACACTCACCCGGCTCCGGGGGGATGCGGGGCTGGCCGCGCCTCACAAAGAGGAGCCCAGCGCGATCTGGCAAAACCCAACTTTCCACCCGGCTCGCCAGGGCCGCCAGATACGTCAACAGAATCCATCTTTCGAAGGGCCTGGAAGGCGCCGGGTTTTCCCGGCCGGGGCAGAACTGCAGATCCGGAGACCGCTTGGTGCGGCGCCGGGGCTCGGAGTCCGCCGTGAACCGCTCTCTGCGCCCGGTGCCAGTGCGGGCGGCGGCCCGAAACCCACTTCGGGGCCCCCGCCCCGCCGGCCGGCGCCGCCTCCCCGGCAGTCCCTGGCCCCGCCGGCCAGTGCGCGGCGCCGGGAACCGGAGCGGAGCCCCGGCGCGCCACACGGGCGGCGGCCTCGGCCAGCGTCCCCGTCCCCGCCCCCGCCCGGCCCTCCCCGCCGGCCCCGGCCTCCGGGCGCCGTCCTGCCCCCGGGAGCAGGCCCCTCCCCGGGCGCCGGGCCCCGCCAGGCGCGCCCAGCCCGGCGCGCCCCCTGCGTCCCGGTGGCAGGTCCGCGAGGGGAGGGTGGGGGTGACCCCGGCCCGCACGGGGGCGCAGCGGCCGCTACCTTGCAATCGCGGCCGCCGCCTCCAGGAAGCCGCGGGGTGGTCGCGGGTGCTGGAACTCTCGGGTCTGGCCTCACCGCCGGCCGCCTGAAGGGGGTGCGCCGCGGTGGGAGCCGCCGTCGCCGCTGTCACCGAGCCGCTGTCGCCGCTGCCGCTGCCGGTTGTGCGTGAGCGTGTGTGCGCCTGTGTCCGGGCGAGTGTGTGTCTGCGTGCGGCGCCCGGCCTTTACTATATACACCAAGGGGTGGGAGGAGGCGGGGAAGGGGAGGGCTTGGGGGAGGCGGCGGAGGAGGGGGAACAGGAGGGGGGCGAAAGGGTACCCGAGGAGGCGGCGGCAGAGGAGGGACAGGTGATCTCGCCCACGGGGAGGGCGTGGCCGTGGGCGGCGCGGGGTGCCTGGAGGAAGGGGTGTCCGGGGAGACCTTGTGGGGAGCGCCGGGGAGGGCCGGAGGAGCTGGGACCCTACTGCCTCCCGGCGGGCTGGGGACTATTCCAGACCCCAGGATGGAGAAGAGCCAGGAACAGAGCCCAGGAGGGAGGAAGTGGCTAGCTGATGGAGCCACGGGAGGTGGGAAGAAGAGCCCAGAGATCACCCGAAAATGACAATTGTGATATCGGTGGAAGATGCTTCTTACAAGGTGGGAGATTGGAAAAGATCAAATTAATACACCTACATAATGTAATTTCCATCCAAGAGGTGATTCATGTATAAATCTAACCTTTATTAAGCGCCTAGTGTTTGCCAGACACTGGGCTAAGAACTGGAGTTACAGGGACGGTGACTGTATGATTGCTGACCGGCATATAAGTGGTAGGTGTCAGTTGTACTATTGATCATTTTGAAATTGAAAACAATAAATCCTTAGAATTCTTGAGACAGCCAAGGAAGCAACCAAATTGGGTTAATGAATCTCCAAAGATGTAAAGATTTTTTTCTATTAATCAAAACAGGATGAAGATATTTGAGAGAGAATAGCAGAGCAGAAATTATTTAATCACAGCAGAGAACAGAATGAATCTGTCTGTTCTTGGTAGTCTCGAGCCCCCTGAAGTTCCAATACTGTGTGTATTAACCCATGACTTTCCTCTTATCAAATCTGAGTTTTATAACACAGTTTATAATTGATATGGGAACTTGAACTTGCGTTCAAAAGGCTCTATTCTAACCATGTTGTGTTGCAGGCATAAGGTGGTAGTAAGTGAGGCTGAATGATGACTGTCTTGAGCACTTTTGCATTTGTGGACTCCTTCCTCTGTAGAAAGATATTACAAATTACATGTTACAATTGCATTAGTGTAAGGATGAATATAATAGTATTATATATTAAAACAGTTTCTTCAACCTAAAAAATCCTTTTTCTTTTTATTTTAAAAGAAATTAAAAGATTTCTGTGGGTCCTTAAAAGTACAGTGAGCCCCAGGCACTGTGTCTACTATGCCTAAAGGAGAAATCAGCCCTGGTAAGTAGTACCATTCCTTGATACTGAATTTTCTCTTTTGAAAAAGAAGAGTTAAATTAAGAAATACCAAGACCACACAGGGGTGGAAAGACACACAGTGCAAGTTGAAGAATTGACAATAATGAATATCAACACAAAATGTCAGTTTCTACTTGTTTCAATCAGGCTATGGGGGGTTTAAAATCAGCCCCAAGCAATTAATGATACCTGTGGAAATATTTGTCTATGAATGTGTCTTCAATCATTTCAGTAACCAAAGTCTTCCTCTATAGACCTCATAACTATTATAAGTTCTTGGATCAGGTATGTGAGGTCTCGGCTGCCAAGACCTAGCCTGAATACAACTAAAGACACAGCTGGACAATTATAATTGGGCAAGTTCATGGATGAAAGATCCATAAAGTCTTTGTGTGTGTTGAGGGGCTATGTCTGTATAAAGTAGGGATTGATATCGTGGAAGGCAATTACTAGCCTATTTCTTTTTTTGGCTTCATCGCAACCTTGGGTTAATGTTTGATCCTGACTGCCAGTTGTGATTCATATTTGCTGCCTTTTGAGGTGCTTATGTTTTCAGGAAAGATTATATCGATTCAGATTAATGCATAGGCAACAGGTATCATGGCCCCCATTCCCAAATAAATGTATACTGGCACCCTTCTGCCATTTCATCCTGGCTGCCCTTGCAAAGGGAAGGAAAAAAGAGGTTCATAAAGGATAGGTCTGGATTTGTGTATGAGGGGGTGCTTTGGGACAGAAATAGGACATTAATGTGGAATAATTGTGTTCATACATTAAAAGGGGTGCCTAAGAAAATGGAGGGAAGAAGGAACATGCTAAAACAGCAGGAAAGAACAACCTCAAAATCTTTCAGGATGGGTCAGGGTGATTTTTTGAGATCTTTAATTGTAATATTTGATTATTTTAAATAAGTACCCAAGAAATTTCCCATCCCAGATATTATTTTTTATCCATATCCTGCTTCTCTAATACAACATCTCCTTATAATTGAGTTTTCACATACTTGCCAGATGAGTGATTCATTTGTTTATCCAATAAACATCTCTTAAGTACCTACTAGCTGCCCAGTCACTGAGCTAAGGATGTGGGTTAGAGGTATGGTAAATATATGGTTTCTGACCCCAGTCTGCTCACAGATTAACAAAAACTATTCATAATACAATGTGACATTATGTGGTACATGGTGAGTTATAAAATGAGCTGGGTGAACACCCAAGGAGTGGGTCTATTCCTGCACTGGGAAGGAATAGGGAATGGCATGGGGCAGGGAAATCAGAAAAGGTTGCCGGAGATGGTGACAGTTGCTGAGTGGTGAGAGATAAAAAGAAGCTTTCCAAAGTAAACAAAAGGCATTATATGTGAAGGGAACTGAAGCTGGGATGCAGTACACTGTCTAGAGGCTGCAGATATTTTGTAAGTCCATAGTAGAAGCTGTGAGGAGTAGTAGAGGAGGGGGAAAATGAAGCTAAGGGCCACTTGAGGTCCCTGGTCGGTCCTGTCAAGGAGCTTTTTATTGTTGTCAGTGAGAACCATTGAAAGGCTTTAAGCAAGGGAGTGACAAGGAAAGATTTGGAATGAGGAATGACCATTCTGTTGGTTGGTGTGGAGGACTGATCAGAGGGAGGTGAGATTGGCAGCAGGGAGGCCAGGTAAGAGAGGCTGTTGCAATGATCAAGGTTTGAATGAAGGTCGTGCCAGCAGAGATGAAGAATAGGAACTTGAGTCAAGTGGTACTTGGAATGCAGAATCGACAAGGCTTAATGACAGAGGAAACAGAAGGAGTAAGAGTGACTGACACCTGGTTTCCTGAGTTGGGTGACAGGATGGGAGGGCGTGGTCACTGAGATAGAAGTCCCTAGGAAGAGAAGACGATTTCGCGCTGGCGATGACAAGTGTCCTAGGTTCCCTCAGAAGCAGATCCTGAGACAAGGATTCCAGTGCAGAAAGTTGATTTGGGAAGTGAAGGAAACACTGTAGGGGAGTAGGGAAGTGGGAAGGGAGCCAGAGGGACAGCGGATAATGGGAGGGACATTCGCAAGGCCAGTTACCACTGTGAGCAACTGGAGCTTGATCACACAGGCAAACCCTCGGACAGGATACAAAGCACCCACTCCAGAGGTGAGGAAGCTAGTTAAGAGCGGTCCAGGGGATGCTGAATTTCTGGCAATTCCAACTTGTCACCCAGCTTAGGCAGAAAATTTTCCCCAAATACAGAGAGAAGATCCTGGCAGCTGGATGTCTGTGGAGCACATTGAAGTGATAGCACTCAAGGGATATGGGTGGTGCACCGTCAGTATCTGCTCCAGGGAGTTCTGGTTAGGACATCTCAAATTGGAGGTGCCTGTTGATTAGCCACACAGAGATGTCCAGTAGGCATTTGGAAGAGCAGATCTGGAGTTCAAGACTTAAGTCAGAGACCAAGATTTTGGAGTTGTTAGGCCCTAGGTGTTGGTTGAACCAGTATAATTGGTGACTTCTGTAGAAGACACGTGAATTGGGCTGGTCGCTGAACCTATCACCCTGGGGTGCACCAACACAATCTGACCTCGTCTGCATAAACATATGGCTTTCTCAAGGGGTTCTTGAAAGCTCTTAAGTTGTAGATGTCAGTTTAGTGCTCACCCGTGTGAATGCATCTGCGGAAATTGTCTATTGCTTTCAAGAGTTTCTTAAGGGGTCTATATTTTATTGAAGTGGAATAATGTATTTAAAATGGAAACTTTGTTTTACAAATGTTTTCACGGTTACTAATATTTACTGGGTGATTGGGTGATTGGATGAGGCAGGCATTTGAAAACGTAAACACAAGGCAGAAGGAGAAGTGCTGAAGAAAATACAAGGGATAACTGAAGCACAGAGGACAGAAATCAAACCTGGGTTTAGGGAAAGAAGATGGAAAGCATTCAGAGAAACAGCCCAGTGAGAATGACATTTTTACCTGAGGAGTGTTCAGAGCTCATGGGGGGAGGGAAAGGTTTGACTATTTGGATGGGAAAGAGACATCTAGTGCACTCTGCATTGGGGTGGGGAGTTTCAGTATTCTTCATTTGAGGACTTCCTACGAACTGTTTTATGCCCTTTGGATAAAATTAGCAAAGACCGGATCAAAGGATATGCGAGTTGGTCCTTCAGTTAGGCAATCAATAAGTATATACTGAACATTTATTACTTTAAAGTACTAAGCTACATGCTAGAAGGCAAGGAATAATAAAGTACTATCCCTGTACTGCATTGAAGCCTCTCATTGTCCAGCTGCAGCTCTGACTAGTCTCACAAGCAGTAGAGCATTGCATTTCATAGAGATTTTTGAGAAATTATCATGAGTAAGAAG